CTTTTCATCGACCACTGCCTCACGTCAGCCGGGCGTGGTTTCTGTCATCGTTTTCCCCCGCTGTTCGAGCTATGTTGATTCGACCTCGACTGAAATATGCGCCTCTTGTATGTACGCCTCTTCCGCACTGCCCCACCGCATTTTAGGGCAAGTACGCCGAGGCTGAGCCTCTCTATGCACGGTGTCAGGCGATAGAAGAGAAGGTTCTAGGCCCTGAGCACCCAAGCCTGGCCACGACACTCCATAACCTGGCGGGCTTGTTGCAGAGACTGGTGAGAGTGGTTAAAACCGGTCACGAAATGGGAGAGTGGGGGCTTTCCTGAGGACGCAGGTGACCTTTTGATGTACGTACGTTTGTGTTTTTGGTGGGGTGTTTGGTGGACCGCTGGTACATACCGCTGGTACATATTATCCCGCTGTATGGCCTGCCATTCACAAGGCAGGCACGACAACGCCAACTCATTTGGCCTGAGAGCTTTGACATTTGGTCAAAGACGGTGGACCCTGCGTTTGCAGAAGTTCCGCCGATCCTGTTGAGCAACTGTTCCTCCGCAGTACAATCTGCAGTCCTCAACTCAACCTAGACCTATCCTCTCTTCCCCCTCACATTTCAGGACAAATATGAAGAGGCCGTGTCGTTGTACGAACGTTCCCTTGCCATCGTGGAGAAAGCTCTTGGTCCTGATCACCTTAACGTAGCCACATCGCTCAACAACCTGGCGGGCTTGTTGAATAGCCAGGTGAGGGTGGTCAAAACCGTTGATGGAGCGGGAGGCATGTGTGACCCACATTTGTGTCCTGTGGTTGGCCGTATCAGGCAAAATAAGCTTTTTTAGGCGGGGTTTCAGATGTCTGGCTTGAGTATCACCACCTGATGGAGGCAGTTTTCATATGTTAACTCTTGATCGTTTTTAACTTTGTAAACCGAAATGTGGAGAAATATTTTCAGGCCCCCAATTTAGTTGAATTGATTCAATCGTTTTTGATCGGGCGCCTTCCATCAACCGGGCGAGGTAGCTGAAAGCATGTTCCCCATCACTTTGATCTAGACCCGACCTCGACTGCAATACGTCTTTGCCGCGCTGTCCCGCTGCATTGAAGGGCAAGTACGGTGAGGCTGAGTCGCTCTATGCTCGGTGTCAGGCAATAGAAGAAAAGGTTCTAGGCCCTGAACACCGACGCCTGGCCACAACGCTATACAACTGGGCGGCGCTGTTACACAAGCAGGTACATACGAGCGATAAGAATTCCCGCGAACTCGTCGCCGTGCTCTGCGGATGTGTAGTGCTTTAGCGGCGGGCGAATTTGTAGAGAAAAAATTGAGAGAAATAAGTTTTTTCGGACAAAATGCGAGGGCGTGTTTTCCTTCGATTGTTCGTAACTCCGCACCAAGATTTGTTTTGCCTACTTCGGCGATATTGGCCTTGAATGTGTGAAATCATCACCCAGAAATGTGTGTGAGCTTCCTGGAGCCGCCATGTTCGGTTGGTGGGTTCCTTGAAGTGCTTGGCTCAAGCGTTTTTGATCGACCACTGCCTTAACGATGACCTGGCGTGGTAGTTTATCGCATGCTCCCGAGTGCAGTTCGATCTAGAGCCAACCTCGACTGAAGCACCCCCTGTACCACGCTGTCCCTCTGCAATTAAGGGAAAATACGCTGAAGCTGGGCCAGTCTATGCACGGTGTCAGGCGATAGAAGAGAAAGCTCTGGGCCCTGAGCACCCAAGCCTGGCCACAACGCTCGGCAGCCGGGCGAAGTTGTTGACGACGCAGGTGAGAGCATTGAGCGGTACATATCATAGACACACAAGTGCTGGAAGACCGGGACACGTTTTTTGAGTATTTATTCCTTCTCCACCTCTTGCACTAGCCTTGACTACACTCCTGTCGGGTTTCCTGCTTGAGTCCCAGAGGATGTTGTTGAGGCTGACCCTTTCTGCCTTTGAGCCGTTGGTATTTTGATAGACCGCGCTCCATCCTAACGCCCGAACGTGCCCTTGGCATTCAAGAAATGGCATGGTCGTAGAGAGGTTGTTCCTCTGTCTTTGCTCTCTTGATCGCACTCCTGCTGCGTTTTCTTCGCCACATTCCAGGGCAAATATGAGAAGGTCGGACCGTTATACGAACGTTCCCTTACCATCCGCAAGGAAGTCTTGGGCCTGATCACCCTGACGTGGCCTCACCTGGCGTGGAAGCTGATAACATTTTCCCCTGCATGCGATCTTGACCCGACATCAACTGAAATATGTACGCCTCTGCCGCGCTGCCCCATTGCACTTCAGGGCAACTATGCTGAGGCTGAGGCCCTCTATTCGCGGTGTCAGGCGATAGAAGAGAAGGTCCTAGGTCCTGAGCACCCAAGCCTGGCCACCACGCTCGAAAAATTGGGAGTAGCGTTGTACAAGCAGGTGAGAACGGTCACAAATTCCTCCGAAAGTATAATTCCTGTAGATTTACGCATGTTCGGGTTTCTTAGCAGACTGCTGCCTGTCATCCCGCTGTTTTCTACCACACACGACAGAAACGAAGATGTCGATCCTATTTGCGAAGATGGTAGAAGTAGAAGATACTTGGCCCGCCCCGGCTGACAACAGCTCCGGCGACCCTGTTCAGCATTTGTTCAGGGCGGTAGGTATAATGTACGATTATCTAACCAAACCGTTGTCCTGTGATTCTGTGACATTCCGCAATAGCCCGGACCCCGCCTCACTCGCCATGTGCTTTTTCCCACATTCCAGGGCAAGAGTAAGGAAGCCGCGCCGCTTTTGGAACGCTCTCTTGCCATCCGCGAAAACTCTCTTGGACCTGAACACCCTGACGTAGCCACATCGCTCAAAAACCTGGCGGTCTTGTTGGACAGCCAGGTGAGAGCGTTTAATACCGTTCAAGGAACGGGAGGCATGCACGACTCAAACTCATGTGATGTTTTTTACTACCACAAGCATCGGTTTGTAGGACGTGGAGGGTTTGGTAGCATTTGGCTTACGTTTCATCGCCTGAAAGAGGCACTTGTAGTGATTCCCTTCTTGGTTGGTTGAAACTTGTAAATCGAGACGCGCAGGGATCTTGTCAGGGCCACCATTTGGTTCAGTTGGCTCAAGTGTTGTCGTCGACCACTGGCTTACGTTGACCCGGCGTGCTAGCTGATAGCATGTTCGCTCTCAGTTCGATAGAGATCCGACCTCGACTGCAATACGCCTCTTCCGCGCTGTCCCGCTGCATTCAAGGGCAATGACGCAGAGGCTGAGCCGCTCTATGCGCGGTGTCAGGCGATACAAGAGAAGGTTCTAGGCCCTGAGCACTCAAGCCTGGCCACAACGCTCAACAACCGGGCGAATTTGTTACACAAGCAGGTGAGAGCCGTCACGAATTTTTCCATGAAGGTTTTCAGGGTAAATAGTGTCTGTGTTACAGTACTGTTCTTAGTGGGGTTCTGTGTGGACTGCCGGGACAACCATCCCGCGCCTTGGCCTGCGAAACGCAAGGCGGGCACCACAAACCACACTCGTTTGGCCTGTTTCGCCTGAGAGTGAGATTTGGTCGAAGAAGCTAAGCCCAGACCACGTCCGTTTGAAACAGCGCCGGCGATCCTGTCCGTCATGTGTTCCTCCGCAGTGGATGTTGTTTTTGGTGTTGTTGTTGTTGTTGCTGTTGCCATCAATCTAATAATCCGGTCACCTTAACGTACCTTCAAATGTCCGATTTGTTTTTCGTGGTCACGGGCTACCCATCAGGGTACTCGAAAAACTAAAATTGAAGAAAAGCGAAATAGTTATCAAACATACAACAAAAATATAAAAGACAAGACTCACATTTGTGTCGCAGGTTCACCTGGTGCATACTCACTTGCATATGAACTCCATTCAGACAGAAACATAAGCAAAGCATCCATGCCCACATCTGTACTACAAATGCCCAGATGCTACATGCCCGGGTTTTCGCCGGCCGACCCCCCCCCCCCCCCCCCCGCCCTTCGCTCTTCATCAAAAGTCAAGGCAGCAGTCGGGGGTAAAATGTGACAACAAACAAGAAGGTATGAACACACGAGACGAAGACGAGACGAACAAAACAAGGAAGGAGGCGGTGGAATGTGTGTGTTGTAGGCCAGCTGACGCCGCAGACACATTACATTTTCCTTTGCAGTCAGGTAACACCGACGCAAAAGGCATGGATCAGGAATGTTTCCCCTCCGCCTAATTATTTCCTCCATATCCTTTTGCGGTGGTTCCATTTGCTTTCCGATCTCTCGCAATCTGTCGAAGTCGGCTGTCCTCTTCTTTTTTTTCTCGCTGGCCTCCTATTTTTCTCGTGCCACGCCGCCATGAACCTCTCGCCTCTTCACCCCCTTGTACCTTGCCCCCCCATCATCGTTCCGGGCAGCTAGCAGACGGCGTGGTCGACTTCGAAAGTCATTCCCATATCGTCTGTTGAGCCAGCAGTGGCCTCCAGCGCCTTAACATTGTCCTTCAGTGACTTCCCCCAGGGCTACGCCCGTCGGCCCGGACGCGGCTTCTCCTCCCCCACTTTCGCCCCGGACATCAGGCGTTTTGGAAGCCTCCCGTCTGCTTGTCTCGTCAGACCTGCCGCGAACAGGAGTTGCCGCTGGCGGGTGATCGCCTTCTTACTCTGGCTCTAGGTCAGCTTCAAGGCTTTCCTATACGACAGCTGTCGATATGTGCCTTGGACACGGCGGTACCCGATGACTCGCAGGAAGAGTCCGTAGTGTGTTTTCCTCAACTCCCGGAAGTGGTCGATGCGTGGTGCCGGCGTCATGCACCCGTACATCCATACAGCAGAGCCTCCACTGCTTCCGTGTTCAGCAGGCGCACCAGGGTGCTGTTCATCGGTCGAACAGTTTACGGGGGAACTTCTTGACGCCCCCCCACGCAGCTTCGGTCCTGCGGCGAGCTCGCGTCTTTGGTAATCAGGCCGCCCACATATATCGGCACTCAGTTGGTTAGAGAGTACGTTTTGGCCTGCGGCATAATTATCAGTGGCTGACGGGGCGGCGGTGGCGGTGTAGGTGTAGGTGACGGTGGCGGTGGCGATGGTCACCCCACTGCCACCGGTACGAGCCACTAAACCTGTTTATCCCTCTCTTGTCCTGATTTCAGGGAAAAATAGGGGAGGCCGGGCCATTGTACGAACGTTCCCTTGCCATTGTGGAGAAATCTTTAGGTCCTGACCACCCTCACCTAGCCACAGCGCTCAAGAACCTGGGGGGCTTGTTGGAGAGTCAGGTGAGAGCGGTAAACCCATCCAAGATACGGGAGGCATATATGACTCTCATTTATGTTGTGCAGGTTGGCCGCCCCGAGCATAATGAGCTTGTACGGGGGGGGGGGTTCAAGCAGATATCTAACCTGAGTATCCCCTCGTGATGGAGGCGTTTCCAGTGATTTTCCTCATGATTTTTTTTTAACTTGGAAGTCGAAATACGGAGGAACCTAATCAGGGCCGCCAATGACCATTTGGTCGAGTTGGCTAAAGTGTTTCGTTCAAGTGTTTGCGATCGACCACCGTCTCATGTCAACCGAGCGTGTTAGCTGGAAGCGTGCTCCCCGGCAAAACGATCTAGATCCGACCTCGACTGCAATACGCCCCTGCTGCGCTTTATCGTTGACCTTTAGGGGCAGTACGCTGAGGCTGAGCCGTTCTTTGCGCGGTGTCAGCTGATAGAAGAGAATATTCTAGGCCCTGAGCACCTAAGCCTGGCGTTGACACTCCACAACCGGGCGGCGCTTTTACACAATCAGGTACGTGAGAGCGATACGAATATTCCTTGAAACTTCTTGGCGTGCTCTGCGGTGCGTGGTGCTTAACGCGCGGGCGAATTTGCTGAGAATTGAGGTGAGAGAAATCAGATTTTTCAACTTTTCGGGCGTGTTTGTTGCGTGTTTGTTCCTCCGCACTAGCCCTGACTTCGCCTCGCTCGCCACGCTCTTTCCCACCACATTCCAGGGCAGGAGTAAGGAAGCCGCGCCGCTGTTGGAACGCTCTCTTGCCATCCGCGAAAAAGGTCTCGGACCTGACCACCCTGACGTGGCCTTAGTGCTCAACAACCTGGCGGGCTTGTTAAAGAGCGAGGTGAGAGCGTTCAAAACGGTCCACGCCACGGGAGACATGTACGACTGAAAACTCACGTGATGTTTCGACCGTGCCAATCATCGTCTGAGAAGGCAAAGGTGCACATGAAAATAATCCGGACACATAGGCCACTCCCCCCCTACCCCCCCGGGGAGGGCAATTTCGATTTTGGTTTTACATAGGAATTAGTATAGGGGGATTCGTTCACGACAATAAGCCATTCCCCCTACTGCAGAGGGGTTTTATCCATGGTGCCCCTTTCGAAATTACATAGAAATTATAGAGTCCCCCCCCAAAAAATCACCCCCAGCTTCCCCCGGTGTTTGCCATCGAGGTTGGGGTTTCGTCACTTGGCAGCGATGTTGTAAAACGTGCCGCCCCCCCTGATGTTTGCCATCGGGGTTGGGTTTTCGTCGCTTGGCAACGACGTTGTAAAACATGCCCCCCCCCCCCCCCGGTGTTTGCCATCGGGGGTGGGTTTTCGTCGCTTGGCAGCGATGTTGTAAAACAAGCCAAGTCACTTCGTGAGCTCGGCAACCAGGTTACGTTTTTTTTTTAACCTTTCTTTCTTTTTGGGCGGTTACCATAATGGTGGTCGAGTTGATTCTGCTGTGCGGGGTCGAGAACCCTCACTCCGCGCAAAGGGGATAATCGCACCACGTTGTGTTAAATTGGCCAAGCACCCTCGAGGCAGTTACACAGTGCTTATAACTATCTGTGGGAGTGAAAGCACTAGAAAATAAATTAAGTCATACGCAGCTGTCATCCGTAAGCAAGGAAGTAAGCACAAGATGCCGAACACCCTTAGCAGGATGCAGCGCACCCTTCATGCGACTCGCCGAATACCTCACGGCGCTTCGTGCTTGGTGATGTGAGAGCCTGGTCCGGTGAGAACCCGGCGTGCTCCGTCCCGGCTTTGTAGGGATGCGAGGTCAATGGTCAAACGACTACGGCATGCACGACTATGAGTACACCCCCCCGCCCGGCGGGCCCAGATTTCGATCTGTTGGCCTTTCTGTCTTGAAATTGTTTTTCCGTGTACCCACACCGAGAAGGTGTGGTTTTTGGCACGCATCTGTATCATCGCCTGAATGAGGCAACTAGTGATTTCCCTTTTGATTTTGTATTTATTCGTAAATCGAAATGTGCAGGGGTCTCATCAGATCAGGGCCGCCATTTGATTGAGCCCTTTCGTCTCGTCATCCAGTCACACTTGGGCGTGTTTGTCGTCGTTATCCTCCGTTCCTCCGAACAAACGCTGACCCTGCCGCACTCGCCATGCGTTGTTTCCCCACGTTCCAGGGCAAGTATGAGGAAGCCGCGCCGCTGTTGGAACGCTCTCTTGCCATTACCGAGAAAGCTTTAGGACCTGATCACCCTGATGTGGCAACAATACGTAACAATTTGGTCAAATTGTCGCAGAAGCAGGGAGGAGCCGTGGGTACCATTCAGTAAGAATCTTCGGGTTCCCCATCGAGTCAAACGGTCTGTTCCTGGTGATCACGGGTTGTACGGCAGGAGCTTCAAGCTGACACAGTTGTGCCTAGATGACCGTTAGTCACCGACTCGTCACGGCTGTGAAAAGAACAGACCATCTGTCGACTCTGTGTCCGCAGATTTCTGCGAAGGACCAGAGGAGAGAAAGGGATCCGAGTGGCGTCCGATATTTATACGCGAAGCACGTTGTCTGTGGAGTGCAATACTCGATCACGAGGCAATCTTTAGCAGAGTGTCGCAACGCCAGTGTGCCACATGCGGTCCAGTCTGGGGTAACACCAACACGAGGCCAGCTCATCATTGGTATCAAATGTGTGCAGTCCACCTCGGGTACTTCGATTCTGCAAGAATCAATCCAGTTTGCCATTTTTCTGTACACGATACCTACTGAAGTCCTGCTTTTCCCGGCAGCAAAAGCCTCATCGTGGTTTTCCCTGTTGACCAATCACCATCTTTTGCCCCCCGGTACCCCCCGCCAACCTAGGTTTTGCAGCGCCTCTATTTGGGTGACAATTTTAAGCTCTACAACAGGCCCTGAGTAGTAGTTCATGGTGGGGAAGCCGCCTTTGGATATCTGCATTTGTAAGATATGGTAGAATGGGTTTCTATCTGCCTGGCTGGGATACCTTTTTTGCAGGAGAGAGAGGGATAGAGGGAGAGATGGAGGGAGGGGGGGGCGGCAGACCTTTGTGGAATAATACACTCTGTTTACCATCGCCAAGGAGGTGAATCGACCGACCGCCAGAGGCCAACAAATTGGAAGGAAATATGTGATGTTCCCCACGCCCACGGCACACACCCCTCAAATAATCACCCTGGAGTCAAGCGGGCGCACCAACACGCAAAAAATGGTTATTTTTTGTGATGATGCACGTCCTCACCGGCCCCTTCGGAGGCATCGAATGAATGCAGGGCGTGTCGATGATTTGCCGTATTCTCCACAGCGACAGGCGGTTCTCGGTTGTCGAATTTCATATCATCACGTTTCTCTCAAGTTATAGAGGGCCAGGGTTCTACTTAAACGCACTGATTGGCTCTTAGGATCAATAAAGCACGAGGAACATCCAAAAGGGTGTTCTACCTTGCGTCTCTCTCTTGCACAACATAGACCCTCGTAATCAAACCCGTCAAGAGAGTACTCCGTTGCATAGACGTATGTAGGGTTGCGTATTTCTCGTTTGATAACGATATTACCTCGAAAATTGGTGTTGATGGGTGTGTCACGAAGTTTGTTCGGTGAGGGCCTGTGGTCCGGTGTCGCTGTGTCTGTGATGGAGTGATTGTGTATTTGTTCGGAAACTGTCTTGAGCAGCTCATTCATGTAGCAAATCATGCGAGGTCTAGGGGTCGCTCTTGGCCAAACGCAAGTCTTTTGCCGTCCTGTCTTGGTAGGCGTGTGTAGTCCCGTAGCGTACATACATGGCATTCTCCGCTGAGACTTGGACTAGGCGGCTGCAGGGAACCCTTGCTATCGGATCGGCCAGGCAACCAAATGAGTGAAAATTCTGGGCAACCTAACCTAAACTTTACTTGAGTTCACCCTACGGGCAGGCAGATAGTCTATGCCCTCTCCGCAACACCATCACCGCAGCGCAACATGCCCAAGTCATATGCAGTACTGTAGGTAGTCTACATACAATATTCTACGAGAACCTAGGATCTCGCTACACGGCCCTCTCTACGTCCAAAATCTACTACAATGTGAATCACACCCCACAAGTGAATAGCATCGGATACCTCTAAGCCCTCATAAAATGTACACAAGCGGTAACCGCCGACATCGTTCGGCAGTCTACAGCCAGACCGCGCCTCTAGTCTCTTTTTTCCTTACCCAACTCCATTAAGCCCGACGAAACATGCCCGTTGTCCGTGCGGCTTCCGTCGAAGGTTCCGTCTGTGCTGAATGAAGCGTGAGGAAGGGACATGTTCACCGAAATTGCTGCCGGGGTCGATGTGGTGCAGGCGATGGTGCTAAAATCGTACCCGAAGCTGGTGGAGTCCGAGAACGTCTTGGCGAGGATGGGCGATCTGGTGGGGAGGCGAGTGGGGCAGGAAGCACGTACATCCACCAGGGCCGGGAGGATTAAGACAGAGCAGCGTTAGGTAATACAAATACTCAGTACATTCCTGTTGTACAGCCGTTCCCGCACACACTCAGCCTCACGCCAGGGGCCGTCTCTCTGTTGCCCCAAGTAGGGTAGAATCGCAATTAAAAAGATGTTGCGACAATCATGAAAATCGATGGCCACCAGTCGGAAAAAGTACAATACAAAAGCGTTCGCAACACGATTGTATCCAAAATTGACAGCGCACAGTGAGAACCAGTTTGTGATCCGACACACGCTCACTCGTCGCTGTCCGTCGTGGTCATGCTGCCGAGGCGGTCCGTGCTGCCTTCACAAGCCATGGGGGGAATGTGTGTGGCCGACGACGCGTTCGAAGAGGGGTGGGGCGCCATCCCCACTTGCTTGATCTTGTCCTCGTGGTCGATCTTGCCAGAGTCGGCCTGAGCTGAGCCTTGGAAAGCCGAGGCCGCCACCTTCTCGGAATCGAGTAGTGGCCGAGACGCGGACACCGGGGGGGTACCTGGCTTGGACACCATCTGCATCAGCCCTTCGAAGGCCACTGATATTTCCTCGATCGCTCCCGACGACGCCTTGTGGTTGTCGGCGATGGCTTCGTACAGCTTCGCCTGAGGATTGGAAGGGCAAGACGGCGTACGTGAACCGTGCAAAATGATGTCGTGCAACTTACATGTCTTCCAAGTGTGATTGGGTGTTATTATTCAAATGGGCGAGCTATACCGTATTAAAACGACGACTACCGTGCTGTACAAACCGTACTACGGACAAACCGTGTTCGGTACGCGTCCTCTACCGTGCTTCTTTTGGCAGGGCAAGTGTTCCAGGTCTCATTCACGTTGACACGTGCAACATGATGTACATGTACGTTCATTTTGCAGTATTCTGCGCAAGCTAATGACGAAAGTGGCACACCTGTTGCACGTCCTGGAAGCCTCGGGTGGTTTCCACGCCCGCAGCCATAGTATCCTTGGGCAGTAATGGAACATCACACACGGAGAGACGAAGACGAGTCAGCAAGCACCCTTTGGTCTCAGGAGGGAGTGAAATCACCCTGTGGGACGTGTAGAATGAACTGAGGTAGATTTTGCTATAACCGTGCTAGGCGGTTACATGGTCTTGTCACTACCTGTGGGTGATCACTACACCAGTTCTATTAATGTCCTCCGTGGCCCCTTTCTCGCCCTTGCACGCGGCTCGCTGCACCTGGTAAGGAAATTCCTTAGGTGACGCATGCTGTCATAATACCGCGCTCGAGTGCCGTCTACTGTACCGTGGCTCGTTCATTCTGCGACAACCAAACCCTTCGAACCGTTCGTGCAATTTAGGTGGGCCGAGAAATTGCTCTTGAAACAATGCCGCTCGTGAGCGGGTACACTTCAAGACAACACGGTCTATTCGCCAATGGTTACCATGCGGGTACCGAGGTGGTGAAGTTTGTCGCCCACGACATCTGTCATTCGTTCGATGCTGTCCATGTAGCGCTCCACTCGGAAGTCGACCTACGGTAGGCACACACGGAGAGAAGCAAGAGGTACAGCAGAATACGGATGATCATACTACAGTAGGCGTGTGTAAGATTGTGTTGTGTAAGGCATCAAGCGCATCTCCCCACTGAAGTCCGTGTTCTTCGGATCCAATATCTGCAATCCGGAGCCCAGAATCCAAGTACAAAATCCGATGTTATCGACCTGTCGTGTGTGGAGATCGCCGTGTTCGACTGCCTTCCCGATCTGCTGCAGGCAGTCCACCACTGACGCACTAAATGCCTTGTACGTCTCGCTCAGCTTTGCATGGTCTAGCTCGAGCATCTTGTTCTTGGCGCGCACATCAGCCTGAGTGAGGTCGCATGTGAGTCATGACGGCCCGGGGTTAGTAGGTGTGATTTCGAATGAATCATCTGAGCCAACTATTTCCGTACGCTATGTAGCATTTCTCTACACAGTTCAGTCCTCGGGGGAGGCAATGTACCTGTATGCACGTCACGCTACATAATTTTTGGTACATGCCGTCTAGCCGATTTGTGCCGGGGGCAAGACATGCTTTCCTTTCGACTACGTTATTCGCACCAGCTCCTTCGCCTGCCGCTTGTTCGCCGTCTTCAAGAACGCGATATCAGCGCCCATGCCTTCCACAACGCTGACGAGCTCCAGAATTGGCTCGGACAGGTCCTTGTAAAGCCCTTTCTTCTCTCTGTGGAGGCCAGAAAGAGAGCGGACGGCAGGCTTTACGTCAGCCGCACGCACCCAACCGTCAGCGCCATACGAGACCGCCGATCTTCTGGCTTGTGTGGGGACTGTACCGGTGCGGGTCGGTGTTTTGTCGCTACGGCTGCTGTTGTTGCCGGCTCCGCGGGGCGTGTTTTGCTTTCCGGCATTCTTGCCTTCTCCCCGGGTCCCCCTTGGTCCCCCGGCAGAGCTCTCGGGCTTGGGGCGCCGCCTGCGATATGCGTGTGCGGGCAGCGTCGAATATTTTCCCGCGACAAGTAGACATGGCAGCGCACATACTTCTGCGTGTACTTCTGGGTTGGGATGGCCAAAACATGGACAAAGCGGGGTGGCGGAGGGGTGGCGGAGGAATAAATGAATGTGTTGTTGTTGTCATTGTTGTGGTTATGTTGTTGTAGTGAAGTAGTATATACCAATAATATATTATTCCTGTCTCCGGTCACAGCTATGCCTGTTTTCATGTAGTCTGATGGGTTCAATGGTGTCTGATCAGCAATCCAAACCTACTTGTGCCAGAAAAAAACTGCGTTTGATTGTTCACTGTGGATACAGTTGTATCGTTCGTTGGAGGACACAACTGGTGTAGTCGAGGCGTTCATATCTACGGTGCACCAGAAAAAAAATAGTACTGATTGTTCGGGGTTTCGTATGGTACTTGTACAAAAATTGTGTTCGCCTTGTCCGAGGGCGGGGGAGATTGGACTAAAATAAGGCGCACACTCATAGCGTAACCGTTAGGACGATACACTGCTGTTGCCGACACCCTATACAACGGTCTGTTATGTCAGACTCTACATACGGATGACTCTAATTTTCCTGGGAAGTCTTTGCATTGATTGGTTGTCTATGGGTGCATAGACAACCATACATACGCCAACGATGTGAAATGACTGAAACTCCCCGTTCGGTCGCATTTGTACACAAACACCATCGCCGCCATTCAGTTAAATCAAATAACGTCCCCATAAATTGCACGGTAAAAATATCATTTGTATTGACATTCGCTCGCTTTATAAATAAGTTTTGGTCCATGAATCCTCTTTCAGTATATCACAGAAAGAAAGAAACAAGAACAACCCCCAATACTGAAGAAGTACCATTTTACTTGTGTGAGTACAGTACAGTGTAGTAGAGATACGAACTGTAGGAAGCGGTGATGTTTTCTGCCATAAAAAACTGCATTTAACAAACTCCAAAATCCACCGCTGCAGCGTCTTTTGATATATATATGTGTGACTTGGTGGATATACTGAAAATATTGACTCACATGTGTTCCGGATTTGTTCCCGGCTATATTTGCGAGCGACCTGGCTTCTACGCTTGGGTTGTGCGTATCGGTATCGTTGGCTTCACCTTGGACGGAAGATTCGGTACCGATTGTTTCGACACAGTAGAGTACGATGTATGACCGCGACAGCCGCAACAGGAAGAGAAAACACCAAAAACACCAACAACAGCGGCCACAACAACATCAACACTACAACTCTGAACCGTTGGTTCTTCCCTTCTCGTATTTTGTGACCATCGGATGCATACGACCAACAGCCGAAAAAAAAGGGAGGCATCAGCTAAATCAAACTCCGGTTTGAAGTAACATCAGTGAACACTCTCAGCGGTTCCCGGAACGAATGCTGGACAACCTGGTTGTTGGTTGTGACCTCTCCACGAGTGCGCGCTGTGTCACTATCGTATGGTGCACCACCCCAGAAACTCTTGATCGACTCACTTGAACTGATCCTTGTGGCCGAGGCACATGGTGCGTGATGGATGAGGATGATGGATGATGACGGATCTTCCGTTTTCTCCTATGTGCTCTCGATACCACGAACGTGCGTGAAGGTTTTGGTCTGGGTCAAATCGCACGTGTGACACCGAGCGAGACACCCATCCGTAGAGGTTGAGTCGAATCTCGTCCATCAGAGCATTAGTACGCACCATTTCAGGCGTCAACTACCACAAGATGTTTCTCTCCAATGTCTCCACGTAACAGCAGGCCGTGGGTGGGTGGAGCCACTCCGCTTTCACATATTGCAAACGGACGTGTCAAGGTTGAGGAGTAGCACCACGGCACGACTGAAACGAACTTCTCAAGGGTACTTGCTCGACTGTAGGCCGCCCTCGCCGCTGTGAGTCACAGGTTTGTACCCCCTGTCGTCTTGGCGGAAGGAAAGTGTAGTTAGTCTCCTCTGTAGTTCACGTGTTTTTTGGCGAAAAATGGACGGTGGGTGTGATTCTATGTGGACAGCGTCACATACATTCCCACAGACTCACCTCCGGCGCGGAATCGGTCCGGTCGAACGTTGTTAGAGGAGTATGCTGTCGTGTTGGTGTTCGCTGCCTGGGATGTGGACGATCTGTGAGGTGCCTTGATGTTTTCGTCGCCGGCTGTATGCTAGGCAAGGACGCGATTGTGTGTGACGCACCGGGGCAACTAAAATGAAGTTTGCGCCGTTAAAGACCCAAATCTGTAGCTAGCTACTAGACTACGCCAACTGAGGCACCGACGCTGCCTTTGATCGATTCTGGCGAAATTCACGCGGTAACCTGTCCGTCGCCATATATCATATCGTGTGACCGTTACAAAGAAGTATGTTCTTCTTCACCATTGTCTGTGGCCAATGCGCAACGTGGTTGCTCGGAGCTCTTGCGATCATCAAACTCAATGATCACCACTGTGCTTCTTTGGCGCCGAAAACGGCCAGGAAACCGGGCCTCTACAACAGGCTCTACTGCATTGGCATCACGGAAGGATGGGACGAGAATGTAAACTCAATGAAGCTCGTGCCAATACCTACGCGTGACCGCCAGGTACAGGCAGGGTGAGGCATAGTTTGGGATTGGCGAGAACTGGCGAGGGCTGGCATCATGGTAACTGAAATACGGCAAAAAAACGGTAGTTACGGGGTGTGCGAGACGAGATCTTCTTGGAATTCCTTCCGTACTGCAAACTACTGTAGACTACGTGCACACATACGTACAGTACTCACGAAGAAACAACAACTACGCCGAGGTCACAGTTTGGGCAATCCAATTTCACTCGACATGATACCTGCCTGTGAATGGATAACTTGGCCGGGGTACAAGAGTCATATCCGTGCGGCCATGGGAGCATCCCTCGACAAACATAGGTTATGAGGGATACGCCGAGCTCGGTATGTTATCAATTAGACAGAGAGTCTCGACAGTGCGCATTCGACGTACGGAATTCTACATCATATAGTCGATGGGTGCGGTCTGGGATTGCCTGTGGTAGGTTGCTGTCTGGCGCGTGAAGAGGTTGGGTTCGGGGGCAGCATACGCGTGACGGGTGGTTATCGTGCGAAACTGCGAAGCCGACATAGAACTATATTTCCAGTAGTTCAGTGTACACACAACGATGACCTAACCGTCGACGACCGTGTTCACCTACTGTATGTAGCGGCCCAACCATTTAATGTGAAAGAAGCGTAGAGTGCCAGTACACTATGAAATAGAGGATGCTACAGTCTGCGCCAGCACATAAAAACTTGGCAGTTTTTAAAGTTGGGTTTGGTTGCGAAGCCTCACTAACTAATTTTCCGGCACACTTTTCCGAGTCCTGGTCCTGAGGGAGATTTCAGCGCCACGCATTTTTCCGCGATGCGGCGCTATTACTTCACAACACCACGCAAACCACTTCGTTTTCTATGCAAGTATTGAATGGGACTCTCCTGTACCACGTGATGCGCATCATGTCAGCGGGCGGGCGGCGTTTGCAAGTATTAAATATCCCCATGGAAGTTCAGTCACTCCAGTGTCCAACTACGCTACCGCCGTGCGTCTCCTACGTGAAGAGCGCCGATGTTCCTGGGCGACGAAACAGCAACATGGCGTTATAAAGGAGCCCCCTTGACCATGTGATGTTCAGAGATCGACCAGAAGGCCATCCGGTTCAGCGAGCCGAGTCGACCACCTCCGTCTTCGGTCTTAGGTCACAACACAAGGAAAGCTACGTGTCGTGTGGCTTACGGAACTCGAGATCAAACCTACTCAAGTAACCCAGTCAGCATTGGATTTCGGCTGCTTGAGGCGAAATACATGCCATAACTGTTATCGCAAACCGAGGGACTCACTCTCTTTCAGAGCGTGAGGGCCTCCTTGTCATTTAGACTGCCGCCCTCGGAAGAAAAGACAGAAGCTCGTCACGCCGATAAGAGACAACAAACCCTGCCTAGGGCAGCGTGGACATTTCATTGACTTTAACCACGTGAATGGTGTGGCCATTGCACGCGAGCTCGCGCCAAGGTTAGCGAGTTGCTTCACCCAAGCCCGAAGAAGAAAAGCTCGAGTGTATTACACCAGTTGGCCCATCGGAAAAGGTGCTGATAGTTCACACAACAGAAACATTTGGCCAATGGTTCGGAAACGCCTCCTGGCTCGCAACCGAACAAAAGCGACATCCAACAAACTGTCGCGCCGTGCGTCGATTATTATAGAGTACACCCTGGTAGACCAACACCGAACACCTACAACATTGACACACCATTCCGATTCCCCAGACGAAAAATCGACTTCCCCGCCCTACGTTTTCATGCCGAAACTTGCCTTCTATGCCTGACGCAACCGGACAATCAACACACAGCACAAAGCATCCCATCCCACATACACGACAAAAGCGGTGGAATAAAAAAAACAGTCTCCCAATTTCCGCAACCGGTTTTTCTGGGTACTGGCTGCAACGGACCGTAACCGCAAAGTCATGACGAGAGTGGGATTTGCTATTTAGAGCATCCGCGGCTCCCGTTCATTGGCTTGGCAATGCCCATGAAAGTGAGATGCAAGGGACGGGAATCACATGCTGCGCTTCTCGAACGAGTGCAGGGAGTGCACCCCACCCTCCCTCTGGGCGGCCGGGGATCGCAACTCAAGGCGGAGCGTGCCGTCGGCTAGGGCCTCGTGCATCTCGGCCGTTGAGCGCATGCCGACATCCTGGTTCGGAAGGGGTAAAGAAATCAACCAAGGAGCGGAGGAAATAGCGCAGGGGAAGGGACGCAGCGATTTAGCGTTAGGCCTTCGTGGTGAGACAGACCCCTCTGTAGCGCGATGCGGTTTTGACCACACTACAGTAGTTCGACAGCATCCAGTCCTATCTACTACCGTCAATACAACAGAGAGACCAGAGTGTAGCATCTGCAAAACGGTGGCAAAAACTGGTCACATTGCCGCCTACACGTTGTCGCGGCGAATTCTGTATTGAATCGAACGGACTGCGGTAAGCGCTTTAAGCTGAGGCCTGCGCGGTACACCGCTTGCGAACAGTCGGCAGTCATCACATCGAAACCACGCGACACCTAGGTGCCCCCAGAATTCAACATCTTGTGTTTCCGCGTCCTGAACGCAACGAATGTACAACCCGAAACCCCGTTCTCTCATCGATGGTCACACCGTTGCGACAACATCACCCGCAGTCTATCCTATCGTGTTCTCTGGTCTCATGCGTATTCTCTGTTGTTTCTCGCCTGAATGCCATGCCTGAGGCCTGTAATGAGGTACGGCAGGTATTTCCTGAGCGAGCCCTTGTCCACCACGGCCCCGGACACCCCTTGGGCTACCTTAACCTTGGCTCCAGAGGCGAAGTACCTGCCATGTTAGTTCACGGTTTGATTCGTGCACCGTCACAGTCTTGTCCAAGTCGCGACGAAAACCGTACCGATAGCATTGGGAGTGTTGTACAGTGTCCGTACAGGCGGAGACGACAACGACACCAGCAACTGCAACGACAACGCCAGCAGCAACGATTATTTCATACTTCTTGGCAACACCGACGGCAACAACAACAGTAGCACGACAGCAGCCGTAAAAAAACACAGCAGCAAAGAGAGCCGCACCACCATCTCACCTTTTCTCCGAGCCCTTGGACATGGCCTCGATCGATCCCATCCCACGGTACCTCTTGAGACGAACGCCTTCTTGAAAGAAGTACTCCCCGGGGGCCTCCTCCGTACCCGCCAGCATCGAACCCATCATCACAACGCCCGCGCCCATCGCCAGCGCCTGACGTTGTCCAACAGCAAAACGTTTTTAAGTGTGCCACAATCTCTCATCGAATATCGAACACAATGACATTGTCCAACAGCACAGCGTGTAGCGTGTAAAAACCTCTCATCGAACATCGAACACCAAACACAATGGCCAAGAAAGTCTGGGATGTGGCAGGTGCGTCCAAACCCCACGACGAACGTCGAACCCAAGCAATGGCTGGTTCGTGGCGGACAGGACAAAAAAAACACCGTGGGTTTTGTGAGCATAAACCAAACATCGGCACAGGTATGCCATGGAACACTGTGCATGCGATGTTATTCTAGCATCGCCCGTGCATCGGTGGAAAGTTGGGTATGATATTGCTCATGTGGTTGAAAATGAAAATCATCAACCAGTTTCGGCACCCTCAGCTACATGAGGCGGGGAAGAAACAAGAGGACAAAGCCGACATGGAGATGAAACGTGAATTGTCCCGGTACTCCAGAGAAAACACTATCCCCACCAGCATGAGTTTGGGTGTCGCTGTTTCATAACCACCCCAGAACAACAGAACGTGCCACCACTTCAGAACTCAGGAGTTGAGAACTTGAGCATAAAAAAAATCAGAATCTGTAATGAGCCAGAGCACCATTTGTGAGCTCTGTTTAGAACCCCATCACAACAGCCCTGGGAACTAAATGAGAACCCCAGCCCCGGCCGACACTATAACAGAGGGCTTTGAGTGGTGGCGCATTTGCACTTCATTTAGCATTGTTACTTAACGCCACCAAGAAAACGACACACAAAAAACCAACAAGTCAACCAACGACTATAGCCTTCTTGGCGCAGTGCTGTGTCGAACAGAGGCAACGCATTGGTCTCTCACCTTAACGATGTGGCCTGTCGCCGCGATTCCTCCATCCGCCCACACCGGCACCCCCAGTTTCCGAGAAATGCGGCTGGTGTTGTATACCGCAGAGGCTTGGGCGCGCCCAACAGCGCAAACCTGTATCGCGGTGTGGGTCACACACATCAACATGGCAGTGTAGGTGAATAGCTCGCTGCCGCGTCACGCGGTAGCAGCGTCTAGGGTACGCATCTCTATTATTTGCATGATACACGGGGTTCCATGAGTTGGACGCCCTAGTGTCACTCTCCCTAGGGATCGAATGAAAGGCTGTGTGACTACTTCAGCTCGTTGTCTTCCTTTCTAGGGACAGAGTCGTCCTGATGGCATGGACAACCCACATCTGTCCATCAGTCTCACGTCCACCACGCGGACACCTGACGACCATCGGTCTGCATGCCCTACTCGCGAGGCGAGGCTCTAGGTGAAAGCACCGGGACAGCCAACATCTTCGCATCGCGGCACAACCAGCTCGCAATCGTAGCAGAGTTGTTGCACACTCAACATGTTCAACAGCACCGCCGCAACACGTGATGCGCCTCTGCGACGCTAGGCCTGCTCGACGCCCCAACTCATCTATGATAGGTGCAACAAGAACGGTATTCTCCCTCGCCCGCCCAACGTTGCTAGAGACCTGGAGCAAATACTCTCTTCTGCCGAACGTCCCAGATCGACATCACATCACACCAAGCCAAGCCGGCCGTCAAGAACAAAACTCCACGCTTGTCAGAGTGTCACGAGAAAACAGGAAAATCGCAGACGACCGGATTCCTACAAGCAACGGGAACAATCTATCCGCCGTACCGTACCGATGCATACCTCCTGTGTGGTGCAAATAGACCCGACGCCCATGCCTACCCTAAGCGCATCGACGCCGGACTTGATGAGGTTGGCGGCCTGCCTGGCCGTGACCACGTTCCCGCCGACTACGTCTATCGCAGGATACGTAGACTTGATGAACTTCACCATCTCGTGCTGGTACATCGAGTCTCCTTGCGAGGAGTCGATCACGATCACGTCAACGCCCGCCTGAAAGCCAAGCGCCAACGAAAACGCGGTCACAAAGTTCAAGTAGGCGGTGGTTATTGCTGTGATCATGTCTTCGTGTCACATACCATCGGGGGGCAAACAGGGGGGGGGGGCACCCTTGGCCATCTGCTCGCTCGTTGTGCATCGCTTCCACCTCACTTCCAACTGCGCAGCAAACCAGTCCACGTGCGCGGGGCATAAGCAAAAGCTAGGCCCCGGCTTTGACGTCGTCATCGAGTCGACACCTTTGGCATCACTAACCAGATACGCTAAAAAAAAACACGCAAAAGGTACCAGTCAAAGTGGCAAGACCAAATCAAATGCATACTTGGTACATGCTGAACAACAAACCTGTGGACTGCACAGTGTGCTTTCAGCACAGGCGGTGCTCGTGTGGCCGCAATTTCTGCCCCCTTCCCCTCCCCAAATCAAAACGTAAAAAATAAATACAACAAAAATGAAATGTTGTCTTGATTACACGGTGCCACAACGTTTGTGGTTCAGGGAGACAGGCAGACAGATAGACAACAGACAGACAGGCAGCACGTGGGGTGCGTTTGCGGAACGTACCCTACTTGGGCCACCATCCAATCCTATCATCCACCCACCTCTGCCAGGGCAGCCAAGCGATTACGGTCCTCCGGGCGTGTCCCGATGGCGGCACCGCAGCGGAGCTGCTTGTTGTCATCCTTCGTCGCCAGGGGGAAGTCTCTGTTCTTGATCAGGTCCGTGCGCGATATCAACGCCACGAGCTGCAACGCCGGCCAGGGGGGGGGGGTACGCCATATCATGTAGCGACGAATAACGACAGAGCAACACGAGCATCGAAGCGCACAACGGATGGGCTACAAGTAAGGGTTAGTGTGTGGAACGTTGCCAATCCCTCTGCTGTACCACGGCAGCACAAAAGCGGGAACATATCACATTCTCAGTGCCTGCTAACGTACTTACGTCTCGGCAAGCCCTCACACATCACCTCTACATCGTCCCCACATCACAGGTATTTGGTCCTCGGCTACACCGCTAGGCATGCACGGGAAGAGTTACCCGTCACCGGGACCCGCGTGAAACGGCACACACACGTCGATGCCAAAGCGCCTGCTCACGAATCATAGCAAGCCACCACCACTTTCTTGCAAGCACCTCTACCTTTACCTTTACCTTTCGACTTGATTTGGGCAAAACTCCGGCGACTTGTTTCCACTGTGTCCAACAGGAAACTCAGGATGAAGTGCGGTATGGCGTCCAAGTTCTCAGTACTTCAGACAAAAATATGCTACAATTGTAACGCCTAAAGTTCTCAGGTGGTGGCAGGTGCTGTACTGCTCTGCGCCGCACCGCCAACACTTCCGAATACGGTTGAGGCCGCGAACTTCCAACTCTACTGGCTTTGTGGGGTCGGAAGTAATATTGTTTCTGCCAAATCCACGTTACATACTAGATAGTGTTGCCGTAACGGTTTAGATTCCATAGGCCGCATTGGTGGCAACCTGCACATGAATAAAATGGGCACAGCACCGCGGAATGAGAGGAGAACAACCGCCCAGCAAAAGGCTAGCGAAACAGATGGAATACAATACTCAAGGTGCCTCGTGTCGCAGTCTGAAAAGTGCCGGGTGCCCATCACAACAGGGGTCAAGTCCCTTGCCACTATGAGGCCACATGCGGGGACTGTTCCTGAAGTCGAATATGTGTTCCTGAATTCGAACATGTGCTCGTTGCATCTACAAAGCGAAATAGAGGAAGCAACTTATATCGAGAGATCTTACGTTTCCTTCAGCGTTGATGACGGGGAGCTTGCCCTTCTTGCTAGTCTTGAGGAGAGCGTTGGCCTCCTCCAGGCCCACCGGTTCCGTCGCCGTCACCATCTTCTTCGTCATCACCTACCAAAACACCACAACAGCAGCAACAGCAGCAACCGCAGCAACCGCAGAAGCAACAACAACATCTTCAATATCAAAATAACCGATTGATTGGCTGACGGTCACGCTGGCGAGGGGGGGGGGGGGGGGGGGGGCGACAGACTTACAGCACAGACTTACAGCACAGCAGCGCATGGGACCAAACCATCAAAAAGAAACTACTAAAGCGTGAATTGGAAAACAGGGGTACCCTTCGCCAAGGCGAAAGATGTGGCGACGAAATTGGCAACACGGCAAGAGTTCAGCACTAGTAGCAGCAGCAGGAGCAGCAGCAGCAAGTGGCACACGCACACCTCTGAAAGCTTGACGGAGGGGTCCGCGATGAAGTCGATGTCTCGTCGTGTGACGATGCCGAAGAGCTTGGAGCCTATCTTACCGTCCTCCGTGATGGGGATGCCGCTGAACGACTGCTGAGCCTTCATGTCCCGCACGTCTTGAACCTAAATAGCAAACACATCCATGTACCACACGATAGCCAGCGACGAACGAAGGGCGGGTGGTTTACGTAGCGAACAGCAAGATAGATGGAATCTGGCGAGCGAGGGGGCATCGTCTGGCGATGCTGATTGGTCAGTGACACTTTTGAACGACTGACTGCACCAAAATGCGTAGCTCTCCAGTACAGTACCAATCACCGTGGGACTAATGTACGCATTGCATGCACTCTTGGCGAAAATGTCGAGATGTTTTTGCTGTACCACGACCACGGCACAGCTCCACAACTTCAACAAGGCTATGAGAGCGATCCACTGGCCTACATGCGGGATTCACTAGGTCCGGTCCGGGAATCTTTCCGTACAGTAGAACCACCAACCGACTGGCTGACAAATTTAGCTCGGGGACGGGGGGGGGGGGAGGGGGGGGAATAGCGTCCGTGTCCTAAAATTGTATGTGACCACACAGGCTCCTAATGCTGGCATGGAAAGTGTTTCTCACTGCCTCACCGTGTGGTCCTTCGTGAAGCACAGGGGGTCCATGATGAAACCGTTCTTGTACCGCTTCACTTCCCGGACGTTGGCGGCTTGCTCCGCTGGAAAGGACATCGTGTTGGTAGTGGCAGCAGGCAGTTGTGCAACCAAATCGAATCAGCACAGGTACGCAACACGGAATTGTAAATTGATCAAGGCAACACGACGAACGCGAGGCATACGCCTGCACGCGTAAACGAGACAGAGCAACTACCGTTGCCCCCCTTCCGCCACTTCTTTTGTTTCTGTCGACGCCTCTGCCTCTCTTGCTTTATTTTTCATTTCTGAAAACACAGATAAGATAAGAGTTCGGTCTCCCATCCTGTCTCTCAATACTTCCCCCACCTCCTTTCTCTCTGCGGTACTCACACAGCGAGTAAGCTAACAACTACCACTGTTGGCACGTCAACACCACCGACACACCCGACGCCATTTCTTAATAATGAAAGACGACTGCCGTTTAAAAACCCACATCAACTCCGAGGCCACAGTACGATCAGTTGCGCGCCAGGTGCCACCGACCAATAGCGACTACAAGTAGTCACACAAGCCCGACAGCGTTGCAAGCTCACCGATGGGCATGTTGTAGTGGATCACGCCGAGACCGCCATGCAGAGCCATCTGAATCGCCATCGCGGCTTCCGTGACAGTGTCCATCGGGGAAGACACCAACGGGGTCTGCATACACAAGAAACGAGAAAAAAAAAGATACAAGGCAACGGTGGAACACCAGAGAGGGAGAGAGAAAAAAATGTCACAGTTGATATTGTAGCTCCAAACAAGAAGGCATTGTAGGCGCGTGAAGCAAAATAAACCTTTCGGAAACACGGTCAGTCAAGCTGGCGAGAGTCACAACCCATCCTGTGGGGCTGCCGCGTGGGGATGGCAACGCTTGCGGTAGGTCCTGTCAAGTACGCGCGGACGATCGTCACTTACGATAAGAACAAACCAAGAACCACGCCAATATTGTAGTCGTGTTTCGCCCGGATGATGCCAGAGGGATCACAAGGAGCGAATATTGGGGTTCATACATCCGTGCCAGCCGGAAAACAAGAGCGCAGTCCGCTGCTGGCAAAACGTAAACGCCTTTTGTTCTGCGCTTGTATATGCACACACAGAGGTGAACACGCAGCAAAAAAATATGAAAGACACGGCTCAACCACGGAACATTCAAGTACCTTGAGCTTGATGTTCTTGGTGACGTAGGATTCTAGGTCGATGTCTTCCGCCGAGAAGGAGATGTGGCCTGCAACACATGACAGTCCAACACGCACCAGCAAGAAAACGACAACATCAAGTCAACTACAGCTCATGAGAACACCACGTTGTATGGCAGGTATCCCCAAGAGATTCGTCATTGACAGACATCAACAGAAGCGATAAACATCATTGACCTGACCTGCACCGGTTCAAGAGAAGATAAAAACAGCCGGAAAAAATGTGCGACGGTCTGAAAGAAGAAAAATAAATGGCTAAGCGGAACTGCAAGACCAGCACAATACGATACTGTTCGCTGGCAAAAAAGGAAGTAAGCAAATCAAACAGGAGGAGAATCAACGGGTGCATGGGTGAGCGGGCAAAACCATCGAGGAACGCAAAGCACCACAACCATCATGATCGCGCGCCCGGACACCGGACACAAGCCATCAATCCCCACACGGCCCAGAGGGGGGGAGGGATATGTCGGCATGGTTGGGACAGAAACGAACATGGGAGTGCCGACATGGTCTGAACGGGCGGGAACCTGTCGTGGTGATCGATACATCGTACACCCTTCCCGTTTGTGCGTGTCACCGTGGATGCTGTATACTTTAAGGGACCGAGACAGCATGGGTGATGTTGTCTTTATCATACCATGTGGTACACAGTTGTGTGTCTTGCTACGTATTGCTATGAGTATTAGACATTCGGTTTCTTTGAGTGACAGTTTCGTGAGAGGGGAGAGCGGGAGAGAGAGAGAGAGAGAGAGAGAGAGAGAGAGAGAGAGAGAGAGAGAGAGAGAGAGAGAGAGCAGGGGCGTAAGTCTCACAGGAAACATGCCGAGTGCCGATGCTGCGGCATTGCGTTGCATGGAGCATGGCGTTGCACCGTGGCGGCTACCAAACGGTGTCAGTCGTCACGCTTTATCGTGTGCATATGCATACCACACGCGAAACATCTGACAACAGCAAGTAAGCACACCCGACTAGCACTCTAGCACCCAACACTCGCGGTGAGGCGTGCTGTGATACCGTTCGCGCAATGTCTAAAACATCATGCCAAGCATCTGCATCTACTCGAGGCACCGGAGACAATTAAATTGCCGTTTCGACAACAACACACACACTACGGAATATCTTCAGGTGAAAACATAACTCGGTCCACGGCTACCCCAACAAACACGCTGTCAGAGAATCGCACGAATGTCCTGGGTCCTGTTCGGGACGGGCTTACCGGGCATGAGGATGACGTCATCGTACGTTAGGCCTTGGCAGCCCGTAGCGGCCTTGAAAATAGTCTCCGCGGAAAATCCATCCGGTCCATCCTCCTTGACGATCGTAGCCTCGTCACGAGAGTCTAAGGTCAGGGATAGAGCCATCCTCTCTGCTCCTCTCAGCTTTTCGCTCCTCCTATCCAATAGATTATTCCACCCACTCTCTCCTCTCCTCTCCTTATCCCTCAAAAGCTGCTGTAAACAGAAAGAAAACACGTGCGACACGATCGCAAACACGAAGGGACAAATCCGAGTGGGATCAACAGATGCGACACACGGAATACGGATGCCCGCTGAGTGCGACGGGTTCACGTTCTCGGATAGGCTACCCGGAGGCGGGGGACTGCTGGTATAATAGAAATGGTTGCGTGCGTTGTCATTGGCATCCCGCTCACGCTGGACCCATCACGTCTGGGCACATGCATGCCTGCAGCCGGGGTTGCCTGCCACAAAGAAAAAATAATTTGTTCTGTACGCGTTCTTTTGCGGCGTTTGCACCTGGCAGTGCTTTGCGGCAAAACATTGATGAAAGCTTTAGCCCCACACGCTTGTATCTGTGGCATCTGAATCGGGCGCCGAAACAATTGTAGGAAGAGCTATTATAGCTATGAGCCTCGGAGTGTATGCCGCGCTATACTCGGCACGGGGGCACTCACGAAGCCGGTAACTCTTGCTCTTGCCGGTACAGTAATCACATGGACATTGCCATGTACCGCAACCCGTATTGGCGACTGCTCCGCCACTGCCCCAAACAGCGTCGAGACATGTTGTGAAGGGTCACAACTGCAGTAAGATACCTGGTGGTGTGCCATTTCATGCCAGGGGGCGCCTCTGTACAGTAGTGGGATGCGGAGAAGAGCGTGCTGAACACGTGCACTCGGGTATGTTTTGCCCCCATCGGGTCGCGCAAGAGGACATCACATGGCCACTGCTGTAATCACGGTTAATACGTCGTGTGTACCACATTCTATCCTTCGGCACTGGCCACTACATACTGCTGTTGAACTCAAGCATCGTCGCCGAAGAACGCAACAGAGCAAGGCAAGGCAAGCCAAGGGAAGGAAAGGTACGGAAACGGCGTTGCCTTTCCCCGAGCTGGGACTGGGTGTTTCTCTTGTGATGCAGCATCCATCCGTACATGATGCACCGGGTCAACTGGAAGCGGGCAGAGATGGTCGCGCGGCAGCAGATAACTCTGCACTCCCTACACTATGTATAATAGTACTACAGACACACAGCCACCGCTGTATCCTGCTACAATACAATAGTGTAGCGTAGTCGTGGGGACGGAGGGGGTAGGGGGTAGGGGCAGCACAGACGCAGCGCCAGGAACAACTGTATGCATTCGGGTGTGCATTTCTGCCCTGTGGTGCTTTCCCTCCGCTGCGCCCACAGACTAAAACCTACCTGGCGCCAAGTTACGGTTCGTGCGCCTACAGCAGTGCGTACGGAATACAGCAGCAGGTCCATCTCTCTCTGACGTCCCACAGACACGACACTAGGATGTACGATGTAATCCCACGCCGCATCCAAAAATCCAAAACGCTACTGCTGTACACGCGCAGGTATGTATCACGCCCTGCATCGGCCTCCATGTCCCCCAAATATCGAGGCCACAGGTGTGCATACATGTGGTTCCACTGTACCTGTACTAAGTTACCAAGGTGTACTTTCCACGAATGTGTCTTCCAACTCTGATCGTCTTGGGATGCATACTTGTATCTAGATGCAGCAGTAGATTTCAGCAGGCAGAGGCTCACAGCAGCAGCTTCGTAGAGACCAAGCGCGTCAGTCCTCAGATACAGGAACAACGTTGACAAAGCCCAGCATGCTACGAAGATTTTCTGGCGCCTCCGAGATCGCGAAGGACATGCAGCTTTAACATAACCTCGCACTCGACTACTAGAGATGTATTCAGCAGCAGAAGGAGACCGAATAAGATGTGCTGGTGAAGAGATGATTTCCCGCAGCCAACCAAAAAGAAAAAGAAATCCCGTGACCGCTACGCTGCACCACAACCCAACAGAACAAGTGAGAGGGAGGGGTGCCACACAGCCAGCTGTAGTACCACAGTTTGTGTTGCTCGTCAGTACGGGCATACGCATATTTCTCACAGGGTGGGTTGCAGCCAAAGCTTGCCAACCCAGGACCGTCGACGCTGCTCTCGTCCAGTAGCAATGCTAGACCTTGTCGTTCGTTGCGGAAGCCGGTGAGTACGAACAGAGGGGCGAGCCCGCAAGCAAAACTGCACTGGGTGGTGACGCAGCGGGCGGTATCGGCGAGGGTGAGGGTGCACGAGGCTGTGCGCGTCGTAGGATAGGATGGTCGGCAGTTGAGTTGATGTGGCTGCTGCTCGCTGGGCAGCGCTTAACTGTTCGCGGGGGGGGGGCGCTACTGAGAATGTGCCAACCTACATGTTGGTGGCCTCTTCCACGTTACACGTCACGTAGCCCCCTCGAGAGTTGCACACAAGACGAAGCGTGGAGAGAGAGGACAGCAGACAGAGGCTGAGAGCGTGAACAAGAAGGGGTCGGGGACATAGGGCATCCTTCTTGTCCCTTTTGCCCTTTGCCTTGCCTCGCTCAACTTTGTTGCTGCTGTAGGGTGTGTAATTATATGTCAAGTGCGTTGTTGGTACGTTTTGGCGAAAGAACCTTGATGATCGACTGCTACGACTGTGTCGCTGTGCCTGTGGCGAACACCCCGTCCCACGTGTCAATAAAATCCTAATCCGCAACCTACCGGCTGCCCCAACACGGTGTCTGGGGAGGAAGCTTTCGACCACCGTGTGCCAAGTTGAAAGCACTATAGGAGCCAATCTCTCGTGGCAAAATACAAAGACGCGTCGCCGTTGCCTACATAACTCCATGCACCTAATATAATAATAAGCTGTTTTGGTTGAGCGAAAACGAGAAAATGTGCGCTCACTAAGCTATTCTATGGTGTGGGCTCGTGGGTTTCTGTTGCATTGCGGGCGGAGATGATTCAGCGGCACAGAGGCAGCATCTCTGGTGGTCCGTCTTCGGCGCTGCTAAAACGTTTCAACTCCGTCTACGAAGTCAAGGTGGACGGAAGCCGCGAAGGTGGAGGGGGGAGTACCCTGGCATGCGGCGGTGCTGCTGCAGGGAGCTGAGAGGTTCATGACCTCCTGGCACGAGAAGGAAGAAGAGGCCGGCCGACAACGAGCGCTCAAACGAAACCACAAGCCAACAACCAATGGGGCGGGAGGGGGGCAGGAGACGGACGAGACGGCGAGGGAAGAAAGCAAGCGAGAAGAGACGGACCGAGTGGCACGACACACGTGCCGGATTGAATTATTTCTTTTCGCCAATTCCCCCCCCCCCAACGCTGCACCATTGCACCAACCCCCCAGTAGTAGTGATTTCGTACCATTACAATGTATCGCTGGTTGGTGGCCATGTTTGCGTGTTTGCTTGTTCGTTAGTGGTCTCTCCACCGTGTGCCTTGTTCTGCCTCATACTTCCTGTGTTATTTTCGGCCTGGTCCCTCTTTGTCCTCGCCCTTTTTCATCTTATTTTCATTTATTTTCTCTTCTCCTTATTATATGTATATTACGGTTTCCATTTCTATTTTTTCTCCTTTTTTTTCTCTGTCCTTTTTTTTTTCTCTCTTTTTTTCTCTCTTTTTCTGTGCCAGATGGACTTGTCTCTGCTTGCGTTGTGAAGTACCAAGATTGAACCAAGGGAGTGTACCTCTTTCTCTCCGGCCCATGATAGATAGTGACTGCTAATCTCAGTTGATACCCCGCATAGCGTGAAGAGGGAGCGGAGGATCCCAGAATATCTGTCGTTGATTTCTATTGACTTGCGGACCCCTCGGGGCCAGTTTATTTGAGTGTACCTTTTTAGGGTAAGTTTTACCTGTGACCACGGGAATCGACCGCGTCGAGTGTTGGATCAGTACGGACATACGAAGGTACTGGGTAGAGAGAGATCGGAACGGTTTTTAATGTGAAGACAACAACAACAACAACACACAAGACAGCAGCAGCTGTTAATTTGAACAAGGTGCTGCTGTGGTATATTCCCAGGCACCAACCGCCGCCCCGTAATAATGCTCTGCCAACCGTCGCAATTGTTCTTTTGTTTTTTTTGTTATTTGACAGTTTCGGAACAAAAAAAAAACTGAAATAAGGAAATATATTTTGAGTTAAGCCATCGTTCTGAGGATCGTTCCTGACAGTCTCGCCAGAACCCAAGATAAGGGAAAAATAATCAGATTTAACAGCGGAGGGAGGCTGGTTTTGTGGAAAATTTTGCCAACTTTTCGATTTAGCAGCTTTCTTTGAAATAACATAATATCAGGCACCACACACAACACATCATCAGGCGCCACCCACACGCACACACACAGTCTGCAAGAGCATGTCCAGCGGCCGCCCACATAAACCCAGCGCCCAGCGCAAATGCCCTGGAGTTGGCGCGCCACCAACACAGAAAGGGGGAGGCTGCACGATCAGAAAACCAAGTTGGGGTTGGTTGTTGCGCGGCTTTAGGTCAGCAACACGCGCCCGTCACACACAGAGGTTGAGGCAAGGGGGAGAAAGAGCGCCGGAACGAACCGCAGCAACCGACGACGTAGAGGAGGTGGCAGCACAGCCAGCAAAGGGCAGAGAGGAGGAAGAGCACGCTGCTGTTGCCTTCTGGTGACGCGCCGCAAGAAAGAGTATTCTCTGCTTCTACTTGAGAGAGCGTGTTTGACTTCGATGTGCCCCCGCCCCAAAAAAATCACCCTCTCCCCAACGCTTGAAATGCGATACACAGCACTTCGTCAGGGCTGCCGGGCATTATGTGTACTTCCTGTCGCTGTTCTGGTGCGGGTTCGTGTGCTGGGGTTAAGGGGGCAACACAGACACGCATGCACGCACATTCAACAGCAGTGGGAGCGCTGTGATCAGGGTGCAGCTGTCACGCAGCGCACCACAAAAAGCAGCAGTACCTGCGAACAGGGGAAGGTGGTTGGGTGACTGTCGTCCCACAGCCAATCACATGAAGCCGCCTTAAATCGAAAAATATTCGCCTGCAGGAAGTTTCCAGGAAACTTTCTTATCTCAAAATCTGTTTCCTTATCTCAGCAAATTTGGA